TGCAAAAGGATGCCTACGGATTGGTATCTTCACACTCTGTGGCCCGGATGCTCTCGTCTCGTAGCGTCGGATCTCGTTACGCGGGCTAACGGCATCAAGTTCATCAGGGTATCTAACGTAGATATTTGACTGTCATTCACAGCTCCCTACGGTACACAAGGTTCATATAGTGGTATGTACACAAGGACCCTTGGGCCATGATGCGGTACGTGAGTTTCGCCGAGTCTAGTGACATACACCGGTATCATTAAGGCTAGGTGTGACTATACCGTTGGCTTTCCCTATGGCGGGTACCTATGAATGCTGTTAGGAATCCGGCGGTTCTCAGCGGAACCGACCTGTACAGTTTTCAGGTGGGTATCACCGGTGGCGCGGAAAAAAAGTGACACCCAGCGCACCCGACTTAACGGCAAGGCCGCGGCGGGAGACAGCGCTAACTCGGTCCTGGGTATCGGAGGCCGCTCTTGCCGTGGGCCTTTTGGGGGCTTTGTTTATGTAAGGAGGTCGGGGATGGGTGATGGGGGAGGGGGGGGTTCAAGGGACGTACGATGTGCTTTGCGTTCTCCGTGTCTTCGGGCCTGAACGGGCGGATGAAAGCCATGTTGGCGGTTGGGGATTGATTGGGTTACCGTTTCTCGACTGGAAGTGCGTGAGTCACTATGGGTTGTTGGCGAAAGGAGAAAAGTCTGAATGCCTTCGTGGTGCTGGCAACGGTCCCGTCGTCAGTCTCCACCCAGGCAAAGGCAAACAACGTCATATACAAAAATACTCCGAACTTTGCTCGGCCTCAGTCACTTACACTCGCACTTGCACTCACACGTCTGTTGCCGGAAGGGGAAGTTACACGTTTGTGTCTTACTCTTGAACAAAAGCGGGCCGCCCCCGCCGCCCCTCATCGCCGTTGCCATGCCGTGCTGCTTTGGCAGAACTTCGGCTCACCTCGGTCACTCGGGCCGTCTGCCCCGGCCTTCGCACTGGGAACCCCTTTGGACAATGCCCCAAGACAAATTCAGGGATGAAGTCAACCCGCCTCCATGTTCAACCGAGCCTTACTAACGGAGACGGAAACCTGTGTTAAATCCGAGGCACAGTGGAGATAACAGCTTGTTAAAGTGATCTTGTTTCAGATTTATGCGCCTAGGGATAAATTCCGCCCTGAAATCCAAAACCGCGATGCCAGCAGCAGCCCAGCTACCAAGGCAGCTCCCCAAGTCCTCTCGCAAGCCCGTCTCCGTGCGTACTCCGTCCAGGCTACAGCAGCCCTCAGAATCGAAACTGGCGGGATATTATCTCCCCACTTTTGGAAGATATGCCAGAATAAAGCCAAGCGTGAAATAGCCTAAAATCCCATTACAAGAAAGAAGTAGTACAGAGAAAAACGAGAAAATAAGGAAGGACAGAAGAAACCTCCCCAATCCGCGCCAAGGAGTCCAGTGTGCAAAAGAGGTATCTCAATTTCATAACCCTCATATGGTATCGATGAACCGCGCCTGTCCTCACGCGCTGCGCCGGCCATCCTTTTTAGTCCGACCAAAATAAACCCGAGAAAGAGACAAAAGGAAAGCAAGGAAAAATAGAAATGGTCAAGTACCTATACCGGAAAAGTAGATGGCCATGATCAGATTGCCTGAAACGCCATTAGATCATCCCACCGGGGACAGCCATGCCGTTGTTGGCACTCTGATTCGCCCCGGAGCGGCCCGCCGACGGCCCGTTGGCCATCAACGGCGGGCTGTTTTCCCTCGACCTTCCAAAGAAAGGCTTGGAGCCGGGGCCCTGCATGTCCGGGTGTGCTTTCCGAAGTCGCCGCCGTTGGTCCGTCTTGTCACCGCCTTCATCCCCGCTGTCGAAGCTTGATGTGTTGTTATCTCCCTGTGTACCGTATGGTAGCGGAGGCGTCGCCATCTCGGTGTCTTCGTAGGGGGCTCGTGGACGAGAATCTTGTCTGCGGCGAGGGTTGATGGGGGGCAGTGGTGGCGCAGGGCCGGCTGTACGACTGTTCGACCGAGACCTTGTGCCTCTGCCCGGGATCATGGGAGGAGCTTGAGTCGGAGGTGGAGGGTATTGCGAGTGCGCTGCGTGCTGGGGCAGGGTTGTTGTCGGAACTCGGCTGGTTGACGTCACGAACGTCGGCTCCGAGATATCCCTCTTGTCGACAGGCCGCCTCATTGGGTGGGGCATGGCACCATTAGCAGGGCCTAAGGCTGGTGATTGCGAGGCCGACTGGAGCCGTGGGCGCGGACCAAACGAAGTGGGAGTCCCGACCGGAGATGCGGCGTAAGGGCTTGGCGAGGGCAGTCCCATGGGCGAGATGGGGGACGGCTGACCGGAATGGGGATCCAAACCCGGGCGTCCGGTGTGCAAGGCGAGGTTCGTGGCCGACCTAGACCGGTCGGGATGTGGTGGCCGATCGGGGTGTGGTGAGTGTGCGGGCGAAGGCGCTCCACGGCTAGGGTACGGATACGGCGGCATCACGGGCGAGTTTTTGATGTCGGTCCCGGGCAAGCCGGGGGAGCGCATCATCGGTCGCCCGGGATTCGGAGCTCCAAGCTGGTCATGTGGTACGTTGTTGGTATTGGTTCGCAAGCGAGGAGGCCGGCTGCCGGAACGACCAGCACTAGTTTCTGAACCACTCCTTGAACGCTCCCCCGAAGGCCTCATTCCATTTGGCGAGCTGTAGCTTTGGTCGTCGCTAGGGTGGTGTTGTCTATAAGTGACGGGAGGGGGCCTCCTCTCCCTGCTCGGTGTCCGCTGTCGGGGGACCCTGGCTGCCGAGTGCATGCCGCTACGCTGTTCCTGGGCTTCCTCCGGTGACTGTGACGTTTGCGAAGCCTGGTGTCGGGCAAGCGTTTCGAGCTCCTTCCGTTTCTGCAGGTCTCGCCTAGCTTGTCTAAAGGCTCGCAAGCCCGGGTGCGTATTGCTATCATCGTCCCTTGTCCTTGGTGTCCGATTCGTTGTTTGACTCGGCATCCGAAATCTTGTGACCCCGTGGTGGCATGTTGCCTCTCGAGACCTCTTCCTTCATCGTCTCCAAAGAGGGGAACTCCTTTTCCTCAAATGATTGTTTACCGGGCTGCGGTGAAGTGCTCATGGTCGCGGCTCCGAGCCCTAGTATTTTGAGACCCTTGGATTGCCCCGTTACCGCGTTACGTGAGCGGTCCATGAGTGAACCGCGACTCGACTTCGGCTTGAGGATTCCGAGACCGTTCGGAGCTTGTGTGGGCAAATCGGTTGGGACGAGCAGAGGAGACGTAGCCCTGCTGCTGTCCGACTCGACATACGACGTCAACTTCTCTCTCACACGGCGGCGAGCGTTGGCGAGTTGGTTAGCGAAGCCGTCCGTCTCGTCCTCCGTCGCCGTGCTGGTTCGGTCAAGCGTCCCAGAGTCTGATGTCTCGCGGTTGGGCTGACTCTCGCCCTCTGACGCTTCGGGAACCGCCGTCGGGCCGTTCCCAGAGTGTGAACCAAGCCAATCCTGATCCGAAGAAGGCCACGGGCTCAGCGCCGGGCCGGATTCACTCATGAGTGAAGGCGACTTCGCGTCAACGTTATAACGGAATCCTGCGCTGGTGGCATCGAACCCAGTCTCACCCAACGAAGATTCCACGCTTTCTGTGCGAAGATGTTGACGAACTAGACCACTCAGACCTGAGGCCGGGCCAAGCGTGGGAGAGTCTTGTGCGGGTGGCTTCTGGGATTTAATGACTGGCACCTCCGGTTTCAAAGTGGACGAGGATTCTGTGCTAGATTTGGCACCCATAGCGGGGGGGATGGGTAGCGCAGATTGCCTGAACGCCGGGTGGTCTTTATCAGAGGGACGCTCGATGTGAGACTCCACTGGCAGGGTGAGCCCTGGTGGGTTGAGCGCATTCGACTGCGAAGATTCCGTCTCGGCAACGGGGGTTGGAGGGAGAGCTGCATTCGGCGCCGGCGGGCGGCCCCCGATAGCGGGCAGTTTTGTGTCGTTGTCTCCAGAAACAGGGGTGTTCCTGCCGTTCGATTCCGCTTCCGCTCTATGCCGCTGGGTTGGGGTTTCTCGGCCCTGCTGAAGTTGGAGCTGTCGCTGGACGTACTGGGACTCGTCGTACGGTTGCGACGGCTTCTGGAATATGCCCCCCACATCCTTCGGGAGAATAGGCAAGCCGGGCTGCTCGCCAGTCTCGCTCACGGGTGGGCTCAACGGTGGTAAGCCGCCGAGATTGTCGTTCTTGGGGTCGGTTTGCGCCCTGGCACCGAGTTCCAACGCGCCAATCGGCCGGGAGCTGGCTGACGGGCTCAAGGACCTTAAGCTCGGGGCACTCGTTTTCGCCAGAATCGTCCGGATACCATCGGACTGGAACGCTTTGTTGTCCGCCGCCCTCGTGACGAACGGGCGCGGACGTGTCAGAGCCTCGATCCGTGACAATACTGATCCTGGTTGCTCGCCAGAGTCTTGATTGAACCCCTGTTCGTAGAGTCTGCGAGTTCGAGTAACGCTGCGCTCCGGAATGTTTGAAGTAACGCTTGAGGATGGCGCGCTCGGCGCCGGTTGCGAGTCCTTAGCGGCACCGGCCGCTTGCGAAGTGACGGACGTGGCTGCCGTGGAGTTCCGAGCCATGACAGAGTTGGATGAGGTGGTCGATGTCGTTTCGCGCTTGCGGCGGTAACTCATTGGGGGTGGGGACTCAGACCGAGTGTGCGGCTCTTCCTCGGCCTCATCTGATCGAGTCCCGTTCAGACCATCCAATGTTCGGTCCCTCTCCGTCTGCCTCCAACGCTGGAACGCCGACATGGCAACATCCTCCTCATAAACCGCTCGACCGCTCATTCCACCTCCAGAGGCCGCCGGTATCTTATAAATTTTTTGCCTCCCGCCAAAGAGCACGTTGCCTTCTGTTGGCCTGGAACGTGTGAGGACGCTCCCGCCATTCGCAGAATCCGGATCGTCAGAGGCCACCGAAGTTGTGCGAAGGAGATTGGGGCCCCTGACAGATTCGACCTCGGCAATGTCGGATAATCCAGCGCCGGCGCCAAAGCCAAAGTCGGCCAATTTTGACTGGCGTTTTGTAAAAAGAACACTGTCGTCACTAGCCTTGCCGATCTTGGTATTGGGGTCATCCTGCTCTCTCAACATGGAAAACCGCGCGGACAAGTTGTTCATCAATAAGCTCGTGCGGAAATCGTCATTGGTGGGGAGGGCGTTGGACAAGTCGATTTCCTTCTTCACTTCTTCTTGCTGCGACTTCTTGCCCTTGCGGAAAAAGGAGAGCGAGGATTGCTCCGAATCTTCGCTCGAGCGGCCGGCGGCAAGGTCGTCCTTCGCCCGCTTCTTCGTTCTAAACCGATTCATCTTGGCGGTAAAGTTGTGTCAAACTGCGGCATCGACTAATACCGGACTGAGCACAGTTGCCAAGGCGGGTTGTTCGGCAAATCGTCGTGTCGAGATCAAAGTTGTGACGATGTCATGGGTGAAGTGCCGGACGATACTGAACAATATTCACCTCGGCATCTGTGCCGAAAAAGAAAAGAGGGTTCCAAACAATTGGTCTGTGACAGCAGTCAGCACCCATCGGATATACATGCAGCGTCATGTGTTGGAAACGGCATTGAAGTCGTGTAACAGGGCAGCGAGGCTCAACGCCGCAACACGAGCTCTCGGCCGCGTTGGCGTGACGCAGCCTGAGCTCCTGCATGCGCGCTGCAAGCCCACGACATGATTTGTGATATCAACATGAAAGGGGACACCGAGAAATCTTCAGACGTGGTTTTGGGCTGACCACGAAAATAGGTCGAGTCAGGGAGACATACCAGGGGCGAATATCCAAGCTTCCCAGGAACTGGTATCCACTCTATCCCGTAAAGCAGAGGCCAGGAGTTCGTCTCAAAGATTCCCCAGAGACGCTCGGTGCATATGATCGCAGCGGCTTCGGATGCTGGTCTGAGACCGATACGGGGGCCCCGCCAACTGCCACACTGTGATGCTGCACGCTCCCGCGAATGCTTTCCTGCAAAGAAACCTGGGAGCTGGTGGCGGTAACGGGTCGCTTGTATATGGCGTTCCACCGATAGCCTGGCTCTGGGAATCGAGGACTCGAGGATAATATCGGCGTAGCGTTTTTTCGCGAGTTCAGGGAGTGCGTCGGGCGGACGTTGGCCGATTTCGTTGGTCGACTTGTAGAATTCGATTCGAGTCGAAAGCTGTGGTCACGGGTGGGTAAAACCGAAAACGTAAAACGAGTGTACGAAGTGAACGATAGGGAATGGCCAAAAGAACGACAAGGCCGGTTGGAGGGCGGAGTGTAAAATCGAGAAGTCGGCCGTGGGATGCGAATGGCATGAGATTTTGGGCCTGGGGAAGGAAATGGAGAGAGGGCGAGCCTTTCTCAGGCCAGGCGCGCACGCCCGCAAAAGAGTGGAGGCCGAGCTAGGATCAAAGGGGTTGCAGCGAATTCCTGACCATGGACCCCCCGGATTGGCCAATGCTTGTCCAATAACGGCAGTGGGGTGGTGTTTGGAATGGAGACCAAAACGCGGCACCTGGACAGGGGAAGGGGGAAGGGGGAAGGGGAAAAGAAGAAAAGTTGCGGAAACGGAGGAGAAGCCGAGTGGCCAGCAGCCTGTGTCGTTTTGGACGCAACTGCAGCTTCGAAATATGCTCACACGGTTTCCGAACTAGCGCATCGAATTCCTCCCGGCTTTCTTCATCGTTTCTAAGCATTGCTATCCTTCTCCTTTTGTTTTATTTTTTTGCTGCGTCGGCAGTCGTGAAAGTGCCAGCGTCAGATCAGACCTGCATCTGCAGGTCTGGCGGCACCAAGTTTCCCGCCCTGACATCGTGCATCCGGTACCTGCATTGCCCGCCTGTGCTCGCTTCCCCTTACGTCCTCGCTCCGGTTGGCGTTTGCTCAATGGGCCGAGTCTTGACGGGCTTCGGAATCGGGTCGGAGGGCACCGAGGCCCCCTTCCCGTCCCCACACGAAAGCAACGGGGGGTTTGGGCCATCTGAAAACGCGCCCCTATGATGTGTTCAAGTGTCACAGGCTGGATGGATGGAGGATTCGGCTCTGACGCATCCCCTTTAACTGCGCCGCCTGCATGGATGCTTCTTTCCCCGCCAGCCGCGGGGTTCTCCTTTTGATGTGGCGGGGAAGTCGACATCAAGCCAGCGCTTTGCGCGTTTGCCCCTGACATCTCATCCATTACTCCAAACAGACGACGGTTTTCACACGGTTGTATGGATGCACACTACGAACGCAGGCGACCGGTGGGCGGTTGCATCCGGTGGCCATGGCGCGAGAGGCCTGGACGAATAGTGCTTTTAATTTTCGGGTTGAGCTGCACATCCGATTGGGCCCTCGTGACAAGAGCGCTGTTTGAGCTTTGGGCTTCAAAAGTTGATGGAGCCCCTGACAGGCCAAAAGGAAGAGGACTTTCTCCCTGCGTCCACATATCTATAACTAATAAAAAAAAAAAAAAAAAAAAAGCATCATTCTCGCGCTGATTACGAATGCCATGTGCGACTGTGTGTGCAAGCAGGCTACTGGGCAAATCCCCCTCCTCGCAACTCTCGCTCGTGGGAACGGACCGCTATCCCGGTCGATATCCGCTGGCCCTGGCATTAGTCACACCCCTCATTCCCCTCCATGCACCCATGTCCCGGGCTCCTTCCCACCCACACGGGTCGATAATGGGTTCCGCGAGCCAATCAGGTAGCTGTTCCTGAGGCTTAACCGTTTGTAGACTAGCACCCGAGATGAGAGATCTGAACGAGACCACTGCGCAAAGCGTGGGTCCCCTCTTCACGCAGCAACACACAAATCCAGGTTTGATAATTGCAGGAAAAGCAAGAGAGACGAGTGAGTTCGGGTTTGTTACTGCTTGCCAGCGCATGGTAAGCGCCTTTGTTATTCTCTCCTGCGTTTGGAGATGACATCGGTTGGACTCAGTTTTGACAGCTTGGCCTTGTTTTGGGCCACTGCAGGTCCCGCATCGAAGGCATCACTCTCCCTAGCTCAGCTGAACAAGGAAGTACTCCGCACCGCAAGTATTCGAGTACCACAAAGCCAAGAAAACCCGCAAACCATTCATTGTCATGCGCAATCGGAGATGCTAGGTTGGACTTTCCCTCAGGGCTGAAGCCTGGCGATGGATCCTCGCCTCGTGGCAATATCCTGGGCAATTTCCGTCTCTTTGGTAATTAGCGGGATGGCTGGCGGGGCAGATAGCAACGGGAAAAGACGAACAAGGGATGGATCATCACCTCTTCGCGGTCTGGATGTTGATGGCCTGCGAAAATTTGTTGAAGTTGGGCGGCCGGTTGCTGATCACGGAGACAAGGGCGCCGGGCCGTTGTTCGAGAAGTTCATCCGGTGCAACCTCATCCCACCGTTTGCTGCCGCGGACGCTCCGTTGCACTTACGGTGCTGGCCGAAACATCCGAACGGAAGGACAAGAGGAACGTGAGAAGGGAATGCAAGGGAGTCGATTTGTGTCGAACCAAAAACACTTTCGCGTTCGATTCGACTCACAGATGCAGATCAACACCGGTGGGCGTCTCGTTTTTCTCTCTCTCAATAACAACAAAAACGCGCGATTCGTGGCCGCTTGTCTCACCGAGTCTCGAGTGAAAAGGGGACTTTTGGGGTTTGGCGCAACCCGGATTTGGCAGCTCGGCTGGAAAGATGAGACGCGAAAAGCAAGCCGCCCACACAAGCCCAGCATTTTCCTCTCCTGGATGAGGCGCACGGCACGATCATCATCCCGCACAATATTCTCCGATCGTTTCAACGCTTTCCGGCTTTTCATTGATTGGCAATTCGAAGGTGGTGGAACAGATTTCTCTCGGCGAAATTTTGGTGCTCAGGACAGTGCTTGCCCAGCTAAATCGAGCCCGGACCGACGAGTCAGGCAGGCCGACACGGGAGCAACCGCTGTGGCTCAAAAATATGGTTTGCATAACACAGCATCCACAAGTTCGTCCTAAGTCTGTATTTGTGAGAGCGAGTCGGGATGAACATCTGGGGTCAGGGGAACAGCGATGCCTCTTGTTGCCTCGTCTCAGAAATGGCGGGGGAGCAAAGTTGGGGCCAACCACACCACGTCAACTTGGGTATTCGTATGTCATGCTAACCCCCATGCACCCCCAACAATTCCCAATCCCGGCAAAGAGCCAAACAGGCGGTAATAGGCCCACGACGCATCCAGGCTGTCGGGTTCCCGCGACCGGGAAACCAACAACATCCCATCTAATAGCGAGCGGAAATATTATTATTTAATACTCTGACCGGGAATCGCCACTGCTCTGCCGACTGACTCGGCACAGGCAAGTAAAACATAAGAAAAAAAACACATCCAAACCGCCATGGAGCTTCTCAAAAGCGCCTTGGATCTGTTGCCCCGGAAGTTCCGGCGTTTCTCTAGCCCAGGTTCAGAGCAGGCAGTTCTCAGCACCAAGAAAGCTACGGCTGCCACACTTCTTTGTGCCGCATGCTCACTGCAAACGGGCTCTGGAGTATCAGAGCTTCCGTATTATGGCCGGAGTCCTCCGGTTTACCCGTCTCGTAAGGTTTTATCCCAAACATCAAGGCCCGATGAATGTCCATGCGCCGGCACGCTAACGCGGCTCCGAACACCGAAGCAACCGGCAATGGCTCCACAAATGGCCGGTGGTCTCTCGCTTACGGCCATGCACGGGATATAGTGTCGCGCATGACAGTCGAGGAGAAAGTAAACATCACCCGGGGCTGGCCCGGCCCCTGCGTAGGCAACACGGGCGAGGTGCCGCGGTTGGGCATCCCCTCTCTCTGCTTCGCCGATGGGCCCTCGGGCATCCGCGGACAAGAGTTCGTGTCGGCCTTCCCTGCCGGCATTCATCTGGCAGCCACCTTCGACAGAGATCTCATGTACCGCTACGGCCAGGCACTTGGAAACGAGTACCACGGAAAGGGCATCCATGTCGCCCTGGGTCCCGTCGCTGGTCCGCTCGGCCGCGTCGCCAAGGGCGGCCGGAACTGGGAGGGTCTAAGTAACGACCCCTATTTGGCTGGCGCCGGCATGGGTGCCATCACCCGAGGTATCCAGGAGGCCGGCGTCATTGCCACGCCCAAACACTGGTTGCTGAATGAGCAGGAGTTCCGCCGCAGGTGGGGCCCCATGGGCGATGCCATCAGTGCCAACGTCGACGATCGGACTCTGCACGAATTATACGTCTTCCCCTTTATGGACGCGTTGCGTGAGGGGGCCGGCGCTGTCATGTGCAGCTACCAGCGGGCCAACCACTCGTACGCGTGTCAGAACTCGAAGCTGCTGAACGGGATACTCAAAACGGAGCTCGGCTTTGAGGGCTTTGTTGTTAGTGACTGGGATGGCCAGATGTCTGGCGTAGCCTCGGCCAATGCCGGCCTGGACCTTGTCATGCCCGGGGCCGGTTTCTGGGGTGATCATCTGGTGGAAGCTGTGAACAATGGGTCTGTGACTGAGGAGCGTATCAGCGACATGGTCACGCGCATCCTGGCGCCGTGGTACTATCTCGGCCAAGAGAATGCCTACCCGCCGCCGGCCATCTATGACAACCTACAAAAGCACTTCCCTGTTGATGTCCGTGGAGACCACGCTAACCTGATCGAAGAGATTGGTGCGGCTGGCACAGTCCTCGTGAAGAACGTCAACAACACCCTGCCGTTCAAGAAACCCAAGTTCCTCTGCATCTACGGCTACGACGCCACCGTCAAAGCCGGCCCCTGGCAAAACCGCGACCGGTACAGCGGCGCCTACGACGAGAATTTTGGCTGGAACACCTTCAATGGCACGCTCGTCACCGCGGGCGGCTCGGGGGGAAACACGCCGCCGTACGTCATCTCTCCCTTCCAAGCTCTGCAGGATCGCATCACCAAGGACAGGGGCATCCTACGCTGGGATTTTTACTCGAGACAACCCCACGACCTTACGTCAACACCCGACTCCATGTTTGGTGTTCGTCAACGCCTACGCCTCAGAGAGCTTCGATCGGCCCAGCCTGACGGATGAGTTCAGCGACAGGCTGGTGCTGAATGTCGCCTCGTGTGTGCGACACTATCGTGTTGTCCACTCTGCCGGTAGACCCTCCCTCCCTTTCCACCCACCTTCAAACCCTTTTAAACCCTTTTAACGCCTTTATTCTCCCCAGGAATACGAACCATCTCGGCATGGATATCGCACCCTAACGTAACAGCACCCTCTTCGCCGGTCTCTCGGCGAGATCTGACACGCACTCACTCATCTCTACGCACACTACCAGCGTCGCTCCGTACACATCCCGCTCGAGACGACTCC